ACCCTGGATCGCGCCGGCCGGTGCTGGGCGGGGAGAGTGCGCTTGCAAACTGGCTCGTGTATATGTAACGTATGTGCAATGACTTCGAAGTTTTTTTAAAAGGCATGTCTATGAGACGTTTTTTGGCACAGATGAACCGGGCACGAACGTGGGGGAGCTTGCGCGCTATTTGCCCGACGCATTTTTGAAACGTAAATGAATCGTACGTAGGGCAGCGCAGATGCAATACGTACGCGGCACGTATATTAACCGTGTGTGAACGTGTTTACGAAACGCATTCGAAATCATTACGAAGCTCGAACACCGTGAACACACAATGTATACGTGACGCAGGCAAGAGACGTAGACGAAACGCATGCGGCATTCATGCGGCAAGAATTTGTAGCGCGCACGAGACGCGTACGCACGTGTATGCAAGTCACACGAACCACATGTAATTCGTGTGCCAGCCATCTACGACACGTGAAGGGAATATAGATTTACCGCTCGCCGAGCGCATACGCAAAACCCACATAACGCCAACGTAACGTGCATGACACGCATACGAAACGTGTATACACCGTTTGCGAAACTGTTTGAAGACGTTTGCGACACGTTCACGACACGCACGCGATATATTCACAATAAGTCGGTGTAAACATGCATGACACGTGCACGAGCTGGGCATGGAACGTATGCACGGCGCATTCGTAACTTGCACGCAACGTACATGAAATGCATATGAAGCGCATGTGACATGCATGTGAAGCGTATGTGTAACGTAAACGAAGCGTATCTGGAAAAAAAGTACGTTTCAGGATTGTTCCAGATTGTTGCGGATGTCTAGAACTTATTTCGGATTCCCGAGGGATCCTCAAGGTTCCTCGCTCTTCAAGTTTCCTTGAGGTTCTGTAGCATTCCTCCGGATCCCTCAGGCTTCCTCAGGATTCCTCCAGCTTCCCCAGGGTTTCCAAGATCCTTCAGGATTCTTCAGGCTTCCCTCGGTTTTCCAAGGAAGGTTTGTCAGGGTTCCCCAGGACTCTTCCGGGGCCCTTTTGATTCCGCAGGACCCATTTGAGTTTTCCAGGATTTCGCAGCATTCCTCGCAGGTGTCCTCAGCAGTCCGCAGGATTACTCTGGACTCTATTGGTATCCTGAGGGTCCCTGCAGGTGCGCTGGGATTCAATATGATTGGAGTGCTTCCGAGCCCGCAGGAGCCGTCAGGAATCTGCGGGGGTCCAAACGACTGCTGCTACCATTCGTTTTGCTACTATTGTTGCCATTTCGGTTTTCCTATTTGAAGCATTGCTTATAACACTATTTTGGCGACGTCGACGACTACGATTGCTAGTTCTAGTCCTACTACCGCTCCCATTACAACGATGACGAGAATTCGTATTTTGCGGAAATAATTTCCACTAGCGCCACTTTTTTTACGAGCGCTGCGACTCTTAGTCGTGCTGCTACGGTTATTTCTATTCTGGCGACTACGACAACTACTACTAGTACAACTACTACAACTCGTATTGCTAGTCCTACCCGTACTACTATTACTAGTACTACTTCCACCAATACTACTACTACCACTACGACTACTACTACTACTACGACGACTACTACTACCACTACTACTACTACTACTACTACTACTACTACTACTACTACTTCTACTACTACTACAACAACAACTACTACTACTACTATCCCTAGTACTACTCCTACTACTACGACTACTACTATTATTATTATTTCTACTACTACTACTTTTGCTATTCTTACTACTACTACTACTCCTACTCCTCCTACTACCAGTACTACTACTACTACTGCGACTAGTACTTGTGATACTACTACTACTACTACTACTACTACTACTACTACTACTACTACTACTACTACTACTACTACCTCTACTACTACTACTACTACTACTACTACTACTACTACTACTACTACTACTACTACTACCACTACTACTGCCAATTCAATATTACCTTTGCTGCTACCGTGTTTACCATTAGTACTACGACTACTACTACGACTACTACTACTGCTACTACTACTACTACTACTACTACTACTACTACTACTACTACTAGTACTATCACTACTACCACTACTGCTATTACTTTCGCGACGAGTGATAGTAGTACTACCATTACAACGATTATTGCTACTACCACCACCACCACCACTACTAGTACTACTAGTAGTAGTACTACTACTACTACTTCTACTACTACTACTACTACTACTACTACCACTGCTATTACTACTACTACTACTACCACTACTACACTACTGGTGATAGTACCATCTCTATTACTACTACTGCTACTACTACTACTACTGCTACTGCTGCTACCACTAACACTGCTACTACTACGACTGCGACTACGGCGACGACTATTTGCTGCTTCAATTAGAACTATTATGCCTACTACTACCGCTACCACTATTTCTAGTTCTACCACTATTACTTGTACTACTAATACGGCCACTAGTATTACCACGACTACTACTACTACCACTAACACCACCACCAGTATTAGTATTACCGCTATTTGCACTACCAGCTCGACAAGTATGACTGATACCACTATTACTACCACCATTGCTACTATTACTACGACTACCACTACCACTGCTATTCTTATTTCTACTACTTCGGCTACTTTTACTACTACAACGACTACGACGACTACTACTACTACTACCACCACATTTACCACTACTACCACTACCACTGCTACGAACTACACCACTACTCTTCCCATTACGATTGTGATTGCGATTCCCACTACTACCACTACTACTACTACTACTACTACTACTACTACTGCTACTGCTACTACTACTACTACTACTACTACGACGACTACTACTACTACTACTACTACTACTACCACCACCACTACTATGACTGCCAGTGCTAAGCATTTAAGTATCACAATTACTATTTTACTATGTTTACTACTACCAGTACTACTACTACGACTACGACTACGACTACGACTACTACTACTACTACTACTATTACTACTGCTACTACTACTACTACTACTACTACTACTACTACAACTACTACTACGACTACTTTTGTCCACTTTACTACTTCTGGTACTCCTACTACTGCTGCTTCTACTACCACTACACCTACTACTACGACTACTACTACTACCACCACTACTTCTACTACTACTACTACTACTACTACTACTACCACTACTTTTACTACTACTACTTCTACTACTACTGCGACTACTACTACTACTATTACCTACTACTACTACTACTGCTACTACTACTACTACTACTGCTACTACTACTACTACTACTACTCCTACTACTACTACTACTACTATTACTACTACTACTACTTCTACTTCTACGACTATGACTACTACGACTACTACGACTACTACTACTACTAATACTACTACTACTACTACGGCTACTACTACTATTACTACTACTACTACTACTACTACTACTACTACTAATACTACTACTACTATTACTACTACTACTACTACTACTACTACTACTACTACTACTTCTACTACTGCTACGACGACTACTACTACTACTACTACTACTACTACTACTTTTACTTCTACTACTGCTGCTGCTCTTACGCTCACTACTGCTACTACGATGTTTTTTTTGCTTTGTCTATATCCGCTATTAATCGTCGTCGCCAATTCCTCGTCGTCGCTGCTGGTCGTCGATGTCGTCGCCGCTGGTTGTCGTCGTAGTCGTGGTCGTCGCCGCTGGCAGTCGTCGGCGTCCTCCTCGTCTTTGTTGTGGTGGCCTTGAAAAAGGCTCCTGCTACTCCTGCTACTGCTGCTACCATTACTTCCGGTAGTGCCATGCCCGTGCTTCCCACTTTACCGCTACCCCGTCACAGGGCCCCCCCCCGTTACGGACGTCACGGGGGGGGAATGTACGCACATTCACGGAGAGGCGATCCGAGTGGGAAGAAACGTTTTTGCGAGGTATGGCGGAGACGAAGAGAGGGAGGATCCAGCAGAGACGGGATGATCCAGGCATGGAAAGATCGCGGCGAATTTTCCAGTGAGAGGTGCTGCAAAGAGTGGACATCCCGATGCCCTGTTGTGGGTCTCCCCTTTGATCCCTGCAGCGGTGCCCCTCTCTGGGCTCAGGCCAAGAGTGCGTCACAGAGACCAAGGGGTCTCCTCCTCCTTCTCTTCCGCCTCCTCCACCCCTCTTTGTTATAAAGAACTCCTCCCTGCCGCACCCCGACACGGGTCGGAAGCGCGGGTTGGGCGTTGCGCTTGAGACGTCTTCTCCTTTTCGATCTTTCTGCTAAAAGTGTGCATCGTCTTCGCTGATGGAGGGCGGGCCGTTTTCAAACGCGCACATTAGCTTTAAACGCTTGCAAGAGTTTGACGGATGGAGGGCGGGCGGTTGTCAAAGTTTGTGGCTCTCGCTTCAGCGCCGCGCGCATCTTTCTGAAGATATTGCAATTGATGGAGTGCGGGCCGCTTTCAAGCTGTGGTTCTTGCTGTAGCGCCACGCACATCCGTCTTAGCACTTTGCAAGAGTCTCACGGACGGCGGCTTCTTTCCAAAATGTGTTTGTTGCTTTCGTGCCGCGCACAGTCGTTCTAACAGCTTACAGCAGCGTCACCGGTTCTTAGTATTTACGTCCCAGCAATTGTGTTTTGGCACGGTTTAGGACTGCCAGGGCGCGACAGTCACATTGCATCGCTGTGCCGACATCCCAGAAATTGTGTTCTGACACGACTTGGGATCGCGAGGTCGCAGCAGTGACGTTGATTCGCAGCGTTGAATTCCCAGGAGCGGTGCTTTGGCACGGTTGAACATTTTCAGACGGTTATCTTTTGTCTTCCCACAGGTTTCTCCCCGCAGTGAAAATATATCACTGTAGGAGCTTGTGCAAAGGGAGCGTGGATGGAGGGTTTAATACATTCAACATCGGTGATGAGTCTTGGGGTTGCACTGGTCCTTCTCCTCCTCCTCCTCCTCCTCCTCCTCCTCATCATCATCATCATCCGTATTCAGTCGTTCTAGCTCAAGACGCTGTGTTCAAGATCGCGAATGTGCTCGCTTCGCCGGTCCCCTCGGCTACGGCAGTGACCGCTCCTGCCTCACGGGCTCCACCTTCATGACGCCGAGCTTGCGCGAGACTGACATGACCTCGGCGGAGGCTGCCCTGCTGGAGCTCTGCGGCGGGAGTCTTACCGACACCTCCTGTGCTACGACCGCCGCTCCGAGAACGGCGGCACCATGGTTCTCGCTGCAGGCCACCTTGTCGACAGCCTGGTCGGTGGACACCTCCTGGTGGCACCCGCTTTGTTGTGCGCCCGCGCCCGCATCCGCTCAGGAAGAGCTGGTGGGTGACGGAGCCCAGCTCTGCGCCCCACTGCCTGACCACGCCCTGTCAGAGTCAGGGCCAGTGTTATCACCGCTGCAGGCGACGCCTTCGAAGTCAGCCCTGTCGAGGCCGACGCCACCACGGACGGCGCAGTCCAGGAGGAGCCTTTCGGTCACGGCCCCGCGGTCAGCGACATTGTCGAGTTCGTCACGGCTCCAGTCGTGGACCCTCGAGACATCGACGACCTCGCTGAGGCCCTCGTCCGGCACCTCTTGCAGCTCCAGGCTGGAGGACATGATCCGCAGCGTTGAGAAGGGGGCCGTGGACAAGTTTCTCCAGGAGCACCGCTTCACCGGCATCAACCACTGCCGCCGAGCAAGCCTCAGGGGCGGCCTGACCGACACCCAGCAAACCATCCCCTTCGTGACGTGCCCCTCGCCTCGCCCCAAGGCGTATGTGTGCGGTCGGAGTGGGGATCTTGAACGGCGAGGGTGACGTCACGGAAGGGGATGGTTTCCGACCGAGAAACAATCGACACCACCTTCCTTAAGGCCCTCCATGTTGCGCTACGGCCCATCGCGCGCAGGAGCGTACACCACGCAAGAACCCACGCCAGCTTTCTTGGTGTACGCTAAGCTCCATCGGGCCGCAGGTGGGGTGGTGTCGTTTGCTTTCTGGCCCAGGTTTGCATGGGGGGGGGTGTCGCTTGCGGCAGGTGGGGTGGTGTCGTTTGCGAGGGGTCGGTTAGGCCGCGCCCGAAAGCCGCTGGCCTCTGTCGCGCCAGTGCTGCCCCCTGTCGCTGGCGGCCGAGGCGGGCGACGTGCCGCTCGTGATCCTGCTGCTCGAGCGGGGGGCGGACCCTCTGCTCCCGCAGGCGCTCGCGCGCTCGCGGAGGGCCCTCCTCCTCCTCCTCCTCCTCCCCTTCCCCCTCCTGCTCCTCCTCCTCCTCCTCCTCCTCCTCCTCCTCCTCCTCCTCCTCCTCCCCTCCCCCTCCTCCTCCTCCTCCTCCTCCTCCTCCTCCTCCCTCCTCCTCCTCTCCTCCTCCTCCTCCTCCTCCTCCTCCTCCCCTCCTCCTTCTCCCCCTCCTCCCCCTCCTCCTCCTCCTCCTCCTCCTCCTCCTCCTCCTCCTCCTCCTCCTCCTCCCGCAGGCGCTTGCTCGCCCGCGGAGGGCGGCCACCGTCGGCCAGCAGGACGCACGCCGGCTCCTCGAGTGGGCTGCGGAGGACCGGCGGCGCGCGAGGGGGGGAAACGAGACGGAGGAGGCCTTCTCAGGAGGCGGCGGGGCTTCTCAGGAGCTCTCGCGCCTTCTGAGGTTGTCTGTGTCTTCGGGGAAGGCTTGGAAACCTTCTCGGAGGGCCGGGAAATTGCCGAGCCTTCTGAGAAGGCCTTCTCCTTCTCTCTTACCCCCCTCGCTCGCCGCCGAGAGGATTCCAGCCGAAGGCTGGCCGCGGAGTCGGGGACCCTCTGGAGCATCTCGGACGGGGCCAGGACGAGAAGAAATCCGTTCCAGAGCGTACCAGAACGCTCTCAGAGCGTCCCGGATCGCCCTGAGGAGGCCGCGGCGCCCGAGACATCCCCTAGAGCCGCCAGGTCTCAGAGATTCTCGATGCGTCCCTACCTGGTTTTATCCTCGTCCTAGCTTCGTCTTAGCATCTTCCACATCGCGGACGCCATCGGTCGCGAGCGCGAGGAGCCGCTGTTCCGCGATCTGCAGCGCCGCGACCCCCTGCTGCGGCAGCCTGCGCAAGCGGCCTGATCGAAGTCGCAGGCGGGGCGGCGTGACGGAGTCGAGTGGTCCCAGGACCTGATGGCCTCCTCCTCCCCCTCCTCCTACTCCTCCTTCTCCTCATCCTCCTCCCCCCCCTCCTCCTCCTGATCCTCCTCCTTCTTCTCCTCCTCTTTATCCTCCCCCTCCTCCTCCTCCTCCTCCTCCTCCTCCTCCTCCTCCTCCTCCTCCTCCTCCTGCTCCTCCTCTGGGGACGGTCCGGAGCCGAGTGGCCCAGGAGAGGCCCTTCTGGTGTGCTGCAGGTTCTCTGGGCCATGCCTCTGTTTCGTCGACGAACCCAGCAGCGTGGGGCCCAGCAGGTGCAAAGTGCTGGCGCACACGGCGCGGGTACTCGCCACATGGTAACTTTTTAGTGGTGGGATGTCATGGCACCTGTTCTGCTGCTCTGTGCCAGCCCGTTTAAATCAGTTTAGGCAGCGCAGTATTTGCGTACCCGTTCATTCTACCAGTTGGTGATGTGACGCGTTTCCTCTTGCAGTCAAGTGTTTTCGGATACCACGTGTGGGGCGCCCCCTGCCTCATTACCCGGGGGATTGCCACACATTGTGCCTTGTGCCTCGAGCACGAAGCTCGTCGCGCACGAAGCCCGTCGAGCACGAAGCCTCGCGCGGTGCGTCAATCATCTGCGTGCCTGTCGAACAGTGCGTCGCTGGCGCTTGCCCAGCGCTCGGGTCGTATCAGACCTGGATCCCCTGGCTCTGGCAGTGCAGTTTGCTCCTCGGAGATGGGGCGATGCTCCAATGAGAGCGGGCCCCGCGATATAGTGGACCTTGCGTGGCCATCTTGCCCAGAGCGGCGATGCCCCGCCACCGCGAGGCGGATGGGTGATGTTTCGTCATGTCGCGCGTTGGTCTCCCGCCCCTCCCTCGCTATGCGTCGTCGCACCATGGCGTCTTGGCTCGCCCACCCGCCCCTCCCGCGAGCAGGCGAGTGGCCTGCGCAGCCTGCGGAACGGGGGGCCCACGTCGTGCTGCAAAAAGAGGGCTGCGCCCACCTCGCGGGGCGGCGGGCCCCGCTGGCCAGGTGGTTCCCCGTGGACCCATCGGACCCTCCCTGCAGCGGTGCAGGAGCCGCGGGCGAGATTCGTATCCAGATGGGGCCACCGAGGCTTGGAGTTTCGGGCGCCCTTCCCCCGAAGCCCGAGGCGCACGGGATACGGATAAGAATCTTGGTCCCCGGAGGCTAGGTGTTCATCCATACCCAGAGCGCTTCGGCCTGTTGGCGCCACTTCCCAGAAGGTCCAAGACGCCCGCAGGAACGCCCTTTTGATGCTTTCTCGGGTCCGGAGAGGCGGGCTGAAGTTGCCAGGTACTCTTGGGACAGGATTCGGCCATCCGATTTCGGCCACGCTCGCGGGACACATGTCGACAGTGACCTCCGTGTCGGCCGCCCCCCTGATGGTGACGCAGCCCGTCGGTGCCGCCCCGCGCACCACGAACCTTCTGCCGTCAGGAGGGGAACAATCATCCTGGCGAAGGACCCAACCATATGCAGTTGTGAGTATCGCAATTGTGAGTATGTTCTTCGGTGGCGTTCCCTATGGGGCCACGAACCGCATGAGGGGTGTGCCGAAATGTGGCGGTGTACACAACGCAAAGGAATACGATAGATCTGATTACGAGAGAAAGAACGCGGGTGAGTCAGAGCGCGAGGGAATCTGAGTATGACTGGGTCTGCGCGCGAGTGAATATATTTGCATGAGTGCGATCATGGAACCGCCTAGTGTAAGTGTCGAGCATGCCTGTCCGAACACACGTGACACTGGGCGTGGCCGCCGCAGGCAGCTTCCGCGGGAACCCCGACGGCAGCGTCCGCACGTCGCGACGCCCATGTCGGCACGCCTCTTGCGAGGATCGCGCCCGCTTTCGGCTCTTCTTTTCCTTCCTCTTTGCCCGCGCACTCCAAAATCCAAGGCTGCGGGCGCAGCGCAGCGCGGAGTCCCCGCGACGCGCGCTGGTCGCCCCGGGCGGGGTCCCAGCGACGCGCGCGGGTCGTCCGCTGCGCGAAGCAGAGAGAGCTGACTAGCTAACTGGCTGGCTGATAGCGGGCAAGTCTCTGACCGCTGGGCAGAGCGACGACGGGCGAACGAGGCGCCGGGCCCCCCGCAGCACGGAGTTCCCGCGACGCGCGCTGGTCGCCCCGAGAGGGTCCCAGCGACGCGCGCGGGTCGTCCGCGGCGCGAGGCCAAACAATTAGTCGGGCAGTCGAGAGAAGGCGCGGCTCGGGGGAGACGCTCCTCAGGTCAGGCCTCGCGGATGAACTCGGTGAAGCCGAGCTCCCTGGCGAGGGCCGTCGCTTCCCTCCTGCACCGCTTCGTGCGCGCCGCAAACTGCTCCAGCTGCTTCCGCAAGCCCTGCGGCGGCCCTGCCAGGAAGAACTCGATGCGCGGCGCCCGCATGAGCAGGAGGTCCTCGTGGCGCGTGGCGCGCGAGAGCAGCACGTAGAGCTCCAGCCACCAGTCGTCGTCCTCCTTCTTGCCGTTCCCTACCTCGTGGCGGCCGCAATCCAGGATCACGCCTGGGCGACGTCGACCGAGGGAGCAGCGCGCAGGGCAGCCGACGGCCCAGGGCGAGAGCCCACAGGACCGAGAGATGGTCTGGCCGCGGACTGCTCGCGCCCCGGAGATCTGGCCGCCCCCGGAGCGCCGTTCCCCCGCCCCGTCGCCTTCGCGCAAGGTGCGCCCCTGGCACGCCACCGTGGTGATGACCCTGCCGTGCAAAAGTGCGTGGGGTGTGCCGACATGGGCGGGGGTGACGCATGCGGGCGGCGGCACTGAGGCCTTCGGTGGAGCTCCCTATGGATCCACGAAACGTGTGAGGGGTGTGCCGAAATGGGTGTGGGTGACGCATGCGGCCGCGGGCACTGGGGCCTTCGGTGGAGCTCCCTATGTAGCCACGAAGCGTGTGAGGGGTGTGCCGAAATGGGTGTGGGGGACGCATGCGGCCGCGGGCACTGGGGCCTTCGGTGGAGCTCCCTATGGAGCCACGAAACGTGTGAGGGGTGTGCCGAAATGGGTGTGGGGGACGCATGCGGCCGCGGGCACTGGGGCCTTCGGTGGAGCTCCCTATGGAGCCACGAAACGTGTGAGGGGTGTGCCGAAATGGGTGTGGGGGACGCATGCGGCCGCGGGCACTGGGGCCTTCGGTGGAGCTCCCTATGGAGCCACGAAACGTGTGAGGGGTGTGCCGAAATGGGTGTGGGTGACGCATGCGGCCGCGGGCACTGGGGCCTTCGGTGGAGCTCCCTATGGAGCCACGAAACGTGTGAGGGGTGTGCCGAAATGGGTGTGGGGGACGCATGCGGCCGCGGGCACTGGGGCCTTCGGTGGAGCTCCCTATGGAGCCACGAAACGTGTGAGGGGTGTGCCGAAATGGGTGTGGGGGACGCATGCGGCCGCGGGCACTGGGGCCTTCGGTGGAGCTCCCTATGGAGCCACGAAACGTGTGAGGGGTGTGCCGAAATGGGTGTGGGGGACGCATGCGGCCGCGGGCACTGGGGCCTTCGGTGGAGCTCCCTATGGAGCCACGAAACGTGTGAGGGGTGTGCCGAAATGGGTGTGGGGGACGCATGCGGCCGCGGGCACTGGGGCCTTCGGTGGAGCTCCCTATGGAGCCACGAAACGTGTGAGGGGTGTGCCGAAATGGGTGTACGGCGGGACGGTGCCGGGGTGTGGGGGACGCATGCGGCCGCGGGCACTGGGGCCTTCGGTGGAGCTCCCTATGGAGCCACGAAACGTGTGAGGGGTGTGCCGAAATGGGTGTGGGGGACGCATGCGGCCGCGGGCACTGGGGCCTTCGGTGGAGCTCCCTATGGAGCCACGAAACGTGTGAGGGGTGTGCCGAAATGGGTGTGGGGGACGCATGCGGCCGCGGGCACTGGGGCCTTCGGTGGAGCTCCCTATGGAGCCACGAAACGTGTGAGGGGTGTGCCGAAATGGGTGTGGGGGACGCATGCGGCCGCGGGCACTGGGGCCTTCGGTGGAGCTCCCTATGGAGCCACGAAACGTGTGAGGGGTGTGCCGAAATGGGTGTGGGGACGCATGCGGCCGCGGGCACTGGGGCCTTCGGTGGAGCTCCCTATGGAGCCACGAAACGTGTGAGGGGTGTGCCGAAATGGGTGTTGATGATGATGATGATGATGGGAGGGGGGAGGAGGCAGCGGGAGGAAGGAAGGAAGGAAGGAAGGAGAACGCGGGGCACCGTCTCTTCAAAACGAGGACCCAACACCACAGGATGGTTGGGAAAAACGCACAGACACAATTGATCGTCGACTCCCAGGAAAATGTAGGAAAATATGGGAAGTGGGGGGGAAGACAAAAACCCAGAAAATATTGGAAATTATCCTGGCGAAGGACCCAACCATATGCAGTTGTGAGTATCGCAATTGTGAGTATCTTCTTCGGTGGCGCTCCCTATGCGGCCACGAACCGCATGAGGGGTGTGCCGAAATGTGGCGGGGTACACAACGCAAAGGAATACGATAGATCTGATTACGAGAGAAAGAACGCGGGTGAGTCAGAGCGCGAGGGAATCTGAGTATGAATGGGTCTGCGCGCGAGTGAATATATTTGCATGAATGCGATCATGGAACCGCCTAGTGTAAGTGTCGAGCATGCCTGTCCGAACACACGTGACACTGGGCGTGGCCGCCGCAGGCAGCTTCCGCGGGAACCCCGACGGCAGCGTCCGCACGTCGCGACGCCCATGTCGGCACGCCTCTTGCGAGGATCGCGCCCGCTTTCGGCTCTTCTTTTCCTTCCTCTTTGCCCGCGCACTCCAAAATCCAAGGCTGCGGGCGCAGCGCAGCGCGGAGTCCCCGCGACGCGCGCTGGTCGCCCCGGGCGGGGTCCCAGCGACGCGCGCGGGTCGTCCGCTGCGCGAAGCAGAGAGAGAGCTGACTAGCTTACTGGCTGGCTGATAGCGGGCAAGTCTCTGACCGCTGGGCAGAGCGACGACGGGCGAATGAGGCGCCGGGCCCCCCGCAGCACGGAGTTCCCGCGACGCGCGCTGGTCGCCCCGAGAGGGTCCCAGCGACGCGCGCGGGTCGTCCGCGGCGCGAGGCCAAACAATTAGTCGGGCAGTCGAGAGAAGGCGCGGCTCGGGGGAGACGCTCCTCAGGTCAGGCCTCGCGGATGAACTCGGTGAAGCCGAGCTCCCTGGCGAGGGCCGTCGCTTCCCTCCTGCACCGCTTCGTGCGCGCCGCAAACTGCTCCAGCTGCTTCCGCAAGCCCTGCGGCGGCCCTGCCAGGAAGAACTCGATGCGCGGCGCCCGCATGAGCAGGAGGTCCTCGTGGCGCGTGGCGCGCGAGAGCAGCACGTAGAGCTCCAGCCACCAGTCGTCGTCCTCCTTCTTGCCGTTCCCTACCTCGTGGCGGCCGCAATCCAGGATCACGCCTGGGCGACGTCGACCGAGGGAGCAGCGCGCCGGGCAGCCGACGGCCCAGGGCGAGAGTCCACAGGACCGAAAGATGGTCTGGCCGCGGACTGCTCGCGCCCCGGAGGTCTGGCCGCCCCCGGAGCGCCGTTCCCCCGCCCCGTCGCCTTCGCGCATGGTGCGCCCCTGGCACGCCACCGTGGTGATGACCCTGCCGTGCGAGAAATGCGGGGGGTGTGCCGAAATGGGTGGGGGTGACGCATGCGGGCGGCGGCACTGAGGCCTTCGGTGGAGCTCCCTATGGAGCCACGAAACGTGTGAGGGGTGTGCCGACATGGGTGTGGGTGACGCATGCGGCCGCGGGCACTGGGGCCTTCGGTGGAGCTCCCTATGGAGCCACGAAACGTGTGAGGGGTGTGCCGAAATGGGTGTGGGTGACGCATGCGGGCGCGGGCACTGGGGCCTTCGGTGGAGCTCCCAATGGAGCCACGAAACGTGTGAGGGGTGTGCCGAAATGGGTGTGGGTGACGCATGCGGGCGCGGGCATTGGGGCCTTCGGTGGAGCTCCCTATGGAGCCGCGAAACGTGTGAGGGGTGTGCCGAAATGGGTGTGGGTGACGCATGCGGGCGCGGGCACTGGCGGGCCTCCCTAATGGGGGACTCCCTATGGAGCCACGAAAACGGTGGTTGGGAGGGGTGTGGCCGACATGGGTGCGGGGGGCGCGTGCGGCCGAGGCACTGGGGCCTTCGGTGGAGGCTCCCTATGGATGCCACGAAACGTGTGAGGGGTGCGCGAATGGGTGTGGGGGGAACGCCTGCGGGCCGCCGGGCACTGGGGCCTTCGTTGGGGCTCCCTATGAGGCCAACGAAGCGTGTGGGGGTGTGCCGAAATGGTGTGGGGACGCATGGTGTGGGGGACGCATGGCCGCGGGCACTGGGGCCTTTCGTGGAGCTCCCTATGGAGCACGAAACGTGTGAGGGGTTGGCCGAATGGGTGTGGGGGAACGCATTGCGCCTCGGGCAACTGGGGCCTTCGTGCGACTCCCTATGGAGCCACGAAAGCGTGTGAGGGGTGTGCCGAAATGGGTGTGGGGGACGCATGCGGCCGCGGGCACTGGGGCCTTCGGTGGATCTCCCTATGGAGCCACGAAACGTGTGAGGGGTGTGCCGAAATGGGTGTGGGGGACGCGTGCGGCCGCGGGCACTGGGGCCTTCGGTGGAGCTCCCTCTGGAACCACGAAACGTGTGAGGGGTGTGCCGAAATGGGTGTGGGGGACGCATGCGGCCGCGGGCACTGGGGCCTCCCTATGGAGCTCCCTCTGGAGCCACGAAACGTGTGAGGGGTGTGCCGAAATGGGTGTGGGGGACGCATGCGGCCGCGGGCACTGGGGCCTTCGGTGGAGCTCCCTATGGAGCCACGAAACGTGTGAGGGGTGTGCCGAAATGGGTGTTGATGATGATGATGATGATGGGAGGGGGGAGGAGGCAGCGGGAGGAAGGAAGGAAGGAAGGAAGGAAGGAAAACGCGGGGCACCGTCTCTTCAAAACGAGGACCCAACACCACAGGATGGTTGGGAAATATAGGGGAATCCTTCCATTTGTGTATCTATTTGTGTGTCGTGGGGCCCCTTCATGTCGGCGCACCGCGGAGAGGAGGAAGAAGAAGAGCCAGTGCATCAGGCTGCCTCGCCGGCGCTCTGCCGCGGGCTGGGTGCCCGACCCTGTGCCGACGCCCTCCGCCCCTTTCCCTTGCAAGTGGCTCTTCCCCGTCGCACCCCAGACGTGTCAGCAGAAATGGTTCCAGGACGAAAATGGATTACGTACCCGAGGTGAAGCGGTCGGAACCTCTCGGGCCGCCGATGGAAGAAATGAAATGATGGTCGGATGTCTGAGGTCTCGGAATTGTTCTTCTGATCGTGGGACCATGGAGAGGTCTTCTCGTCCCGGGCCGGCTTCCAAGACATCTGAAGGATATTTGTTGTTGCAGCCGCGGCGTCGTTGGAACTTCTAGCGCCCCGGGACAAGCAATCATGAACCCAGGACGAACAGTTGTGCCCGGGCAAGGGTTCGGGACTTTCGGGGCCGCGGATTTGAGCAATCGCATCATCGGATGTCTGGGCTTTCTGCTGTGGCATTTGCCCCCCCCCAACCCCTCCCGAGTGGGCGTTGCCGTCGTCTCGTTCGTTGCCGTTCTCGTCGTCGCCGTCGTCGGACACAGCGCAGGCCCCGAGTGGGTGTGGCCGCTGGGCTACTTCCTGAAAGCCTGGCACCGCTTCGGCGAGGGCTCCGAGGAGGAGCGCGCCAGGCCCCCTGGAGGGGAGCGAGCCTGCAGCGCCCCCCCCCCCCGCCCCAGAGGAGGAGGAGGAGGAGGAGGACCAGGAGGAGGCCTCCCTCGCTTTCGTCGTCGACGTCGCCGCTGTCGCCATCGTACCCGCACGCTGATTCGTCATCCACCTCTACTATCATCACTACTACGACGACGACGACGACGACGACGACGACGACGACGACGACGACGACGACTACTACTACTACTACTACTACTACTACCACGACTACTACTACTACTACTACTACTACTACTACTACTACTACTACTACTACTACTACTACTACTACTACTACTACTACTACTACTACTACTACTACTACTACTACTCCTACTCTACGACTACTACTACTACTACTACTACTACTACTACTACTACTACTACTACTACTACTAATACTACTACTACGATTACTTCTACTATTACTGCCACTGCGACTACGGCTACAACTACTCGTATAAAGTGTACTTCTCATACACTTACTCTGGCTACGACTACTACTACTACTACTGCTGCTGCGACCATTATAATTATAACTACTACTACTACTAATACTAATACTGATACTAATACTACTTCTACTACTACTAGTACTACTACTGCTACGACTACTACTACCACTACTATTTATCATACTACGACTATTACGGTTACGACTACGGCTGAAATGATCACCACTTCGGTTATCACTACTATTACCACTACTAGATCACTACGACTACGACGACTACTACGACTACTACTACTACTACTACTATTAGTACTTCGTCTACGACTACGACGACGACCACGACTACGACTACTTGAACTACTACTCCTTTTACTACTACTACTACTACTACTACGACGACTACGCCTACGCTTACGACTACGACTACGACTACGATCAGGACTACGACGACGACTTCTACTACTACTAGGCCGACGACAACGACGACGACTATTCCTCCCACTACTAATACTACTCCGACTACTGCTTCCATTCATACTACTACTACTACTACTACTACTACTACTGCTACTACTACTACTAC